AGGTATTAAATATTATTATATTAATAATAGTCTTAAGTTCATCACTTCATCTTCATCAAGTTCAACTGTTCAAGTATTTCTATTATTTATTTATGATTTTTTTTATTTCTTTGTAACCCATTGGTGGAGCCAACATGGGCATAGTTCTCCAAATTTACAAAAGTTGGTCATTCGGATCTTAAACCTAACCACTTCTTTATCCGGTTGTGAGCGCAATTGGATTACTTTTGAAGGAGTAAGGCCATAACGGTAATTTGTATAATTTTATAAATAATACATGAACCACAGATATTAGATTTTAATTAGTTCATGTTCATTTTATTTTGTTAGGTTCATACGAAGAACAAGAACAGGCTTGAATCAAAGGAGCTCAATGACCTTGTCTATGTCAAGTACAATCGATTCTTGAAGGACAGATTTGCTAAAAGAGATATTAGAGACCCCATCAGATCAAAAAATATGGACAATGTTATGGAGTGGTTAGTTGACGATGATGAGGTCGAGGGGCATGAAGGATTGATATGGGACATGGTCATGGATGCTTCAGGGACATCAGCTGACCCTCCTAAGGCCACTGAAGCTTCTGCGCAGAGAACAAGGGTGAAGGAAGAAGAGGCAGATTCACAAGAGATGGAGGAAGACAAGTCGCAATATGTCGAGGAGGGTGACGACTACGTTGACTCCGATGAATACGATGCCAATGCCGCTAACCCAAGATTTTCTGATGATGAATGAATGTTGATTGTTGAATAATTATTAAACTTTGTTAATTTGAAGTTTGAACTTTGATTGAAGTATTGTGTATTGAACATTTGAACTATTGAAGATTCTTTTAAGTCTTCAAGTATTATTTTCATAGTTTTATAATTTGGTTGGTTGGCATATTTTAAGTTTTAATTGGATATGGATTATGGAGTATGAACCGACTTATGGATTATGGTTATGCTTATGGAATGTGTGCTAAATGCTAATATGTAGTATAATTTGAATATAACTGATAGTCTGATACTCAAATAACTGCAGAATCCTTATTTGGATTCAACTGAGCTGCCCAAGTTCTGGGCTCCCGCCTAGGTGCTGGGCGGCCTAGACCCCCCAATCCGCGTAAGACCCGCCTAGCACTTTTTGAAACACTGGCGGCAAAAGAGTAGCAGATCCCTCATATTGGACAGTCAACAGACTAACACAAAAGATTTAGAAGAAAATTTTACAGCAAAATAATGAAATGTTATCCGGTTCCTGATAAAGAGCCATTACAACCTCACCTCGTGCTCCTTTATAAAGAACCTTAGTTTCTACTATAACTCATTGAACAAACACCATGAGTGTAGAAATACAAGGAAACCCCACAAAGTACTACACACTTCCTACCACATAAGTTTGAATAGACTAAGCCCAAGTAAGCTTCAGAATGTTTCTAGAAAAGGAAGGTCAACAATTGCTTCAAAAAGTTAAGCAACAGATGAGGCGGCAACAATGATAAATTGCCCACATGCAGGTAAACCAGATGAAGCTAACGAATCCCAATGGAGGTTCTTTTTTCTTTTCTTTTGGTGGGGACAGGGGAATACGATCAGGTTTCAAACCTTGGACATTGTGGTGAAGACCCGAAAACCCTAACCGCCAAGCCAAGAGAGCTACACCCCAAAACTTAAAAAATAAATTTTATCAAACCTTCATAAGTAAAGAAGTGAACAACAAACTGGGTTTAATTTTTCAACACAAAAAAAAAGATAATTAATTTCTTCTAAATTAATACCTGATGAAAGCTTCCTACTTCTTTTAATGCAAATATCATATGGTTCAATTTCTGACCCACGTTTGTGGTTGTCTTATAATCAAGGGAATTAATCTGCATACATAAAACAGATTTAGTCATCTCAAGCAATGCCAAAGACCATTCCAACTGGACAGAATATGCACTAATTTTTACCTTTTAAAAAAAATTCAGAAAAAAACATCCGAAATCTACATGGCTCATAGGCAATTGCCAAACAAGCATAAAAATAAATTAACTATTTCTAACTCGACATGGCGAATAGGCCCATCCACAAAAGCATGCACTATTATGTAAATTATAGGGCTCAAAAAACAGCATCATAAATATAAGAATCCCAAATAGATGATAAATTTGAAGAACATGACATATTGACAACTCAGACGGAATCCAAGTATAACCCATAAAAACAGAAGAAATTCTTTGAATAGAATAAACAAACTATTTTTGAGAACCAAGAAATGTGGTTGTTCACTCTTCTATGGCGCAAGGCAATAGCCAGTTGACAAAACATTATTATATGCTGCCATTAGATCATTACATTGTTAAAATACAAAAAAGCTAAGGTATTTCCAAAATCAGTAGAGTATTTGTAGCAAGCCATGTTTCATAATTTCTTCCTCAATTACTGCAAAACCTAATACTGCATTTTCTCATTTGGACACTACCAGTTAAATTTTTGCATATGTAAAGATTTCTTAGGTAAAATAAAGTAAATTATGCACTCAGAAGATTAAGGGTAAAACATGACAGAGACATAAAGGCCAAACACCATGTGGTACACTATTGAAAGCACATGGTAATGACTGTAAACCTGTGAAGACAAATCCCCAAACCAGCCCTTTAGACTTTCATCCTTGAACTCGCTTGACAGGTTCTGCATTAGCAATAAACTGCAGTAAGGGTGTTGCTGTGGAGATCAAGAAAATTACATAATTCAAAATTAAATAAACAAACTTATTTGAATCATAATACAAATTCACAAGCTAATAAGCAAATTGGAGAAACATCTAAGCCAAGAATCTCATAGAAGATACAAGCAAAATTACTTTATCAGAGGATGGGTGAACGCTTTTTGTTCAGATGATGGAGGGGGATATGACGCTCTGTTCGGACGACTTTGTTTTTTTGTTGTGAACGTGGGATGTCCCACAACATTCCATAGAAGTTTTGTATTTATGGACTATGTGTGCTGCTCTATATTTACTAGCAACAAAGATACAATTCATCATGAAAATGAAAAGAGTACATGAAGCCTTTGTGGGAAGAACAGCATGTCATGTAAAAGAGTGCAAGAGGCTCGCAAAGAAACAAGTTTTACTGTTTTACAAAATCTCTGTTTTCTAAGTTTAAGACCTTCAAGTAAACAAGAAAAACAATATGGAACACAAAACTTTTCCTCCACTGGATACAAAACAGCAACGTCCAATTGAGAGAACTAAGTGGCTTCTCTGGAAGACTTCAAATTTACAAAGCCAGCTATTGGATAACAACACATTAACAAATTTATCTCTGTAGGACCCTATTCTGTGGTCCATCTTATTCCTAAGAATTATGCAACTCAGTGCAAAACAGGAGTAGCCCTCAGATTACTTCGTTCTGTCAATCCAAACCCCATATTTCATTTGTGGAATAACTCTGAAAAGTGTGCTTTCCCTCTCTAAAACAAAGGATCATTTGCCACTTTCCCAAATTCTGATCCATTTCTTCGGTGCATCTCCTTTTTAACTACTCTACTTCTCTTTGTGCTTTTATGAATCTCATCAGAATTTCCTAGGAAAATGACCTATCACTAAAATTATTATTATTATTATATCTCTGTTTCCTTGATTTGTTAATACCAGGGAAACAATGGGAAATAACTCACCCTGAGCAGCAAGGGGAGGTGGTGTTATATTTCTTTCCCTTGCACATGCATATTTCACACATACTCACATACATCGTAGCACCAATGTCTTCTGGTTAATGACGGGTTGACTGAGCTCAATGTATACATTGGTCACTTTATTGGTATGAATGGGCATTCCCCAAAACCATTTCCCAACAACCAAAATTTGAGGAAGGAGGAAGAAAACCCATTCAGGCAGTTACAATCAGTTGGAAATTCCCAAACTCAAACAAAGACAGTTAGAACCCTGATTTCGGCCCTAGGCCAGGAAGGAAAATAATGAAGGCACATCGCTCCCCTGAAAAATGATAAATCCAAGTCCGGTCATGTAAAAGATAAATCAGAATAGAATGATAAATGCGGATAAGATAGAAAGGTTGGTTAGATAAAGTTAGGCCACCATAATTCCCACAAAGGGCTGACTGGCACATAAATAAAGATACTAACAAGAAGCCTAAAGGCAATGACAGCAACCTAGCCCACCATCCACATGGGGTGTTGAAACCAACCTAGCATATGCAGACCCCAATCCAACTGAAAAATCCATCATGAAGTTCAAGTAGCTTGTGTGCAGCACATAAGATAATCAGTATGAAGAAGCATCTTCTCACAAGTTCACTAAGGAATGTAAGCCCACTCGACATCACACCAAAATGCAAAGGGCCTTTCAGGTGAAGTAAATACCACGAGGTAAAACCTTAGACGGACATAAAAACTAGAAACATACGAAAAGTTTAATGAGGGGTCAACGAAATTATAAGGATAGTTACCCCAGAACTTGACAAATATTCAGATAATTGTAGCATATTATGTGCAGCTTTATTTTTACTCTGCTTCCACTGACTGTCCTTTCCTCCCAAAAGCTCTGAGTATAATTTCTTAACCTCAAATTCAACCTGCAAATGCATATGAAACTCATAAGCTTGATTCCAGGGTGTAGGTTTGAAGAATGCATTCAACAGTGAATTTGTTTTCTCGAATGTTAAATTAAATTCAAAGTAGATTACTGATTAATAACAAAAATCAAATCTACAAAGATTCGCTTGAAAGAAAATCACCTTGGACGTCTCAAGAAACAGTATTATCATTGCATCTTCCCCAATTTGCTGAGCATCTCCTACAGAAATGACAATGTCCCGCAGTTTTTTGTTTGAAGTCTGCATGTTAAAAAAGTGGAGGTATTCAATTGAAAATTTTTACCTTAAAACTCATAAAATACCAAGAGGAAGACTTCTCTTCTCCTTAGAGGTGGATTACAGAAGCTTGCCCCATCATAGTTTGCGGACAACACTATGATGCTTAGGCATGTACCAGTGAAGCAAACTTCACTACGAAAGTTTGTGATAAGATGCCCAAGGGAGGTGTAGTAGAACTTTGGACGAGAAAAGGTGAAAGGCTAGAGAAGGGAGAGATATAGTAATTGGCTAGAGTGCTGGTACAAAGAACGGTTTCCCTTCTAACAGCTAAGCTGCAGCAATCGGATTCATTATCGGTAAGATAGAATTGGAGAAAAGCGTGTTGTGTATGGAAAATGAAAAGGATAGAACTAATTTTGAAAAATGAAGGAGTCCAAGGTTTTTGGTATATGCATTCCTGAGATGTTTCAATATTGGTGCTGGGAAAGAACAGTTTCAAAAAGGAAAGGAAAGCTACTCATATTTTGAATGTTTAGGTAGCATATCTTTTTCCAGAGATTCACTTTCCAAGAATCATAAGAGGCAAGCAAAATCCACCCAGAGTCTGAAATTGTTATCCCCTTGACTTTCTAACAATCATAAAAATATTGCCAGGAATAGGAATCACAAAATGTGGAACTGTTTTGGGGGAGGAGGAAATCTATTCAATATGTCTCACCACATCGGACGAAAGAGGCTTATGCATGAAAAGTTGGTAAGGAAGACCGATAGTGCATAATTATGATTTGTGAGCCTTCAACCATCTTCTCAGCACAAAAGATGCATGATGCATGAGACCCAGCATGGCAATGGATGAGAGGGAAAAGACGTTTGATGTCATGAAATCCCACCAGAATTGCAAATCCTTCTTTGGATGAATAAATCACATCTTTTGGCTGGATTATGAGAACGAATCTTAACAGGGGAATGACCTTCAGTGTTGTTCTAAAACATTTTTTCTTGTGATTCAAGGATGATATGAAATTGTTGGATCAACTTTTCTACATACTCTGAATGGAAGTTTGAATCATTCTCAAAGGCACTTTTTAACTTTTATGGCTGACAGGTGAGGCTTTTGACAGTGTGGAGTAGGCATCGAAATCAGTACAGTTGAACTAGAGGAATCTCTTTTTAGTGAAGTTGTGAAAGTTGATAACTTGGTGCAACTAGTATGCAGCAACAAATAGGATTTTACAGTCAAAGTTCTGGATGTGCAAAATATGTACAAGATAGCCTTACAGATATCATTATGTGCGAACTACATTAAGAAGTCATAACAGAAACTAATATGCATCCAGCCAACACTGTTGGTGCAGTGGATCCCATTACATATAGCTCGGGTAGTGGATCCCATTACCTACTGGTGCATTAAGGCTGAATTTTGGTAAAAGCTTGAAAAGCAAACTGTCTCCAGCAGCCACATGAATGGAGATTCTGGGCTTGTTAAATATTATCACTACCCAGAAGTGGACTCATCTAACATCAAAACTCAAGTCCAAAACATCACAGAATACATATTTATGCCAACAGTTATGCTAAAGTTTTTTCATTGATTACATTTGCATAGTTAAATGACTAAGAAGGGATCCATACAAACAAAGAATCAGGTTTCTGAGTAATTACAGAAGTTAATGGCCCTTGTAAGTTCGATTAATCTATGTGACCCAATTAATTGGGAAAAGGCTCTCGTAATGATGATGGGGATGATGATCTCATTAGTCATTAGGAAGGTATTGGGATAGTAGAATTTTTGCCACTATTATTGCTGCCTACATTCTGTAATTTGTTTCATTCTTGTTGACTTGAACAAATATAACATTTAGCACAAGAAACTTGAAAAAGTCTGAGACAATGGCTTACAGATCTATGAAGAAAGAGCCAGCGGAGTGAAACATTGCAATTCCTAACCAAAGAAAGAAGAGTTTGAGAGTTACTCAAAACATAATCTACACTATGTGTAATGTCCGACTTGGCAGAAGTTATCTTCGACGAAAGATCCTTAACCTGCACAAAAAGTACATCAATCAAGAAATATGCACTGAAAAATAATATATGCAATAGGAATAACGTCTATGGGAACTTGATATACTCCTTGATCAATCAAAATAATGCTAAAATTGACATGGTGTAACTATGATAAGAAGCCAAGAAAACTTATCACTTATACAAACAATAAAATATGAGGAAACAAATAGTAAAACATATGTAAGTGAGCAAATTCTAATACTACTCTATTGTTATCATCTTATGCCTGAGACAAACACGACGCCACCGTAGAGATTGTATGGGAAGTGTAGATAGGGTGAATATTGTCACCATATAGAGCATAAGATATACATAATTACATACCAAAACAAAAACATATTTATACAACAGACAGCTACCACATGCACATGCACATGCACATGCACATGAAAATGCACGTGCACGCGCGCACACACAAAAAAAAAAGACAGGATGAAGGATGAAGTGCATTTGACAGCTTTACTGAAGCCATATTAGTTATTCATTGAAGATCTATATGAAACAGCTTATGTAGGTATCCAAGAAGCACCCTTATGAACTTCATCTTACCATTGACTTTTGAAGCCATATCTAAATTGAAGTAAATAGCAAAAAAGGAAAATAAACTAATGAAATCATTGTAGATGTCTTCTTAGAGTTTACATCCCGAAAATTTGTGGGGCCTCTACAGCATAGCTAGATTGTTTTTTTACCCAAGGGAGTGAATGGCGGAAGTACTCCCACAGGAGCACAAGATCGTAAATTTTCAACATGAAATTTCTGAATTTAGAATCGTAAATGCAGGACAAAAATAACAAATTGGACCACCGCTAAAATTTAACCCCATAATATTGGCCCCAATTGCATTTTTCAAAATGATATAAATTAAGTCTGGTCCATATCAGTATGTAAAATTGGTTTTTTCCTCTTTGGCAGAACATTAATATATGATATTGCAAAACGTTTGAGGGTAGGAATGGTTAAAGTAGGATGTTTGAGGGTAGGAATGGTTATATGGGAGGAATATGTTCTCACTCTCCTAGTTTACAAATTTACTTTCCACTATTTTGTCTTCACTGACTAAGGCTTACATTTTTCTTTCTCTTGTTGGGCATCAATTTACTACCGGTTGTTATTTACTTTTCAAACATTTTCTTCATTAAGTTTTGTGATTTGCATAATTTGATACTAGTAGATGCATCTTTTAGGCTATTAATGAAATCAAAATATATTGGGAGAGGTGTTGTAGGCACAAGGTCAGAGCGGCAGAGCCATAATGAGATGTCAACAGTTCCAATTCTACCCCATTCATCATCATCATCCTCATCATCATGGCCTTCTCCCATTTAATTGGTGTCGGCTACACAAATCCTGATCTGTAATTTTGCTCTATCAAAAGTCATACCTTCAGTGAGACCATAAATCCCTCATATCTTTTCGGACTACTTCCCACCATGTCCTTTTGGGCCTACCCCTTGCCTTTTTCCGTCCTTCCACTAGAACTAAGCCCACCTTAGTCTACTCTCTCATCTTATCGCCTATTAGTGCCATACCTAAATTCTCCCAAATGGATTCATTTCAAATTTTATCCCTTCTAGCCTTTCCACTCATCCATCTCAACATACTTATCTCCGCTACACTCATTCTATAGGTATATTGTTTTTTGTCTGCCCAATATTCCACCCCATAGAGCAAAGCTGGTCTCATAGTTGTCCTATAGAATTTGCCCTTCAGCTTCATTGGCATACGGCAATCACATAAAATTCCAATTGCACATCTCCACTTAGCCCACCCAGCTCTAATTCCATGTGCGACATCTTCCTCAATCTCTCCATTTTTCAGGATTATTGACCTATTTTCTGTCAATATTAACTACTTCCTCGTCTCCACTCCTTTTATTACTAAACTTGCATTCCATATACTCTGTCTTAGTCTGACTAATTTTAAAACTTTTGGATTCTAGAGCATCCCTCTAAAGTTCTAACTTTGTGTTGACACAGTTTCGAGCCTCATCAATCAAAACCATGTCAACTGCGAAAAACATGCACCACGGTACCTCATCCTATAGGTGCCAGTTAAGTCGTCAATAACTAAAACAAAGTGATACGGGCTCAATGCTGACTCTTGATGTAGACCTATTGTCACTGAAAAGTCGCTCGTCTCTCCACAAGTTGTAAGTACACTAGTTAGAACTCTATCGTACATATCTCTCATCAAGTCGATGTAGTGTCTAAAAACTCATTTCTTTTCCAACACCCGTCAAATCAAATCTTTGAGGTACTTTATCATAAGCTTTCTCTAGATCAATAAAGACCATGTGGAGGTTTCTTTTCCAACACCCACCAAATCATAAGCTTTCTCTATCATAAGCTTTCTCTATCAAACTCTCCACCTTTCGTTGACCTTGTCATCCTTCACCAACACCCTTTGATCCCCATTCTTAATGCACTTAATATGGTTTAGATCCCTACACCTTTTCTCTCTTATTTTTGTTAATTTCAAGACATCTTTTTTCACCTTTTCTTGTTCCAATTTATTATATAGATTATCATACACCTCAAGTTTAGCTTTACTTACTATTTGTTTAGCGTTTTTCTTAGCATTTTTATATTCTTCTAAGTTTTGACCATTTCTATTACACTACCAAGGTTTATAACATCATCGTTTTTTGTTAATGGCCTTCTGAACCTCATCACTCTACCACCAAGTTTCTTTATCGGAGTTTCTTTTCCCTCGAGATTCTCCTAAAACTTCTTTTGCCACTTTCTTGATCTAGTCAGCCATCTCATTCCGTATTACATTAACATCATGTTCAGAGTTTCATTTTTCTTCTTCAACTAATTTATCCTTAAATAAGCCTATTTTCTCATTTTTTAAATTCCACCACCTAGTTCTTGGACACCCATTACTTTCACCCCTTCTCTTCCATGTCTTTGCAAACATCCATAGCCACGAGCCTATGTTGGCTAGCGAAACTCACCCCTGGGATAATCTTGCAGTCTTTACATGATGGTCGATCTACATTCTTCACTAGAAAGAGGTCTATCTGAGTTTTATGTAATCCACTTTTATAGGTTATTAAATGTTCATCTCGCTTTTTAAAGTAAGTGTTTTCTATTGCTAGCTCATAGGCCATAACAAAATCTAGAATAGTCTCCCCCATCTCATTTCTTTCTCCAAACCCATATCGCCTATGTACCCCTTCATATCTTCCACTATCCTTCCCTACATAACCATTTAAGTCTCCTCTTAAAAAGGCCCTCTCTCCATTTGGTATGTCTTGGACTATTTCATCTATGTCATCCCAAAATTGTCTCTTAATTCTATCATCTAATCCTACTTGTGGTTCATAAGCACTAATCATGTTAATTATCTCTTCCCCTAGTACAAGTTTAATTAATAAGAGCTATCACATATTCTTTTGAGATTAACTACTTTATCTTTTAAATATTTATCTACTATTATGCATACGCCATTTCTATCATTATCATTTCCTATATATCAAAAATTTATACCCATCTATTTCTTCAGCTTGTTCTCCTTTCCATTTTAGTTTCCTATAGACAAACTATATTTACTCTCTTTCATCTCATTGTATCCACTCCATATTCTTACCTGTAAGCGTTTCTACATTCTATGTGGCTAGACGAATCCTATTCTCATGGACAAGCTTCTTTACCCGTGTTCATCCAAGATGTCGTAGGAACCCTTGCCTATTTTTCACCGCAACCGGGCGGCACTGTGGCGCGTCGCTTCTGAGGAATGCCTTAGCTAACCCTTGCTCATTTCTCACTGTACTCGGGGTCCAATACAGCGCATTGCTTTTGGGAAACACCCTAGCTACCCCTTGCTCATTTCTCACTGTACCAAGGCTCATTAACATTCAAAAAACAAATTGAAATCAAAATACATTGATTGAACAATGGCAGAGTTCAGTCCATCAACCACTCATCATGCAACAACAAACACAAGTGCAAGAATGCTCTAACTAAAGAAATGTTTTGTTCTTTAAAAAATAAAATATTGTTGAATGACTCATTTCCCTTCATAAAAATCAACCAAGAAACAACTCCACAGAACATAATCCATTAATCAGGATTCAATAGTGAGAAATATGTAAAAGTTGAGTAAATGAAATCTAGAAAATGCAACACGCAACTAGAAAGAGAATAACCAAAAACAAGCCATTTAGGACCCAATCATAAAGTATTTTTATATTTGACTTCTCTTGATTAGCCATTTTCTTTGAAATCCATGTCATCCAGGTAGAGTCTCCATCGTACTCTCATCTGCTGATCGGAATCCGGTAAGCAAACTAAGGTTTTCAATGGGTGCCTAAAGGTTTTCCCCATGTTTTGCTCAACACCATAGATGGTGGAATGTGATTCTTAACATCTTTAGATTGGTTCAAACTTCAAAGAGAAATCCCCCAGGCCCTCACTCCTAGAGATCTAATGGACAAGGTTTTTGGCCTTAGTGCTTTTGAAAAAACTCATTTCTAACCATTCTACATGGAAAACAAGCTCAAAAGTGAATTTCCTTGCTAGGGTAGGATTTCCAATGGAACATTAAGAAGTGTAGGATTTGTTAGCATAATTGTTCATAATTATATTTGCAATTTTGTATACTGCTAAACTTACTCTTGTAATTGTAGTTCATATCCATTGTAAAGAACAAACATATAATAACTAGATTTATTTGTATCCTTCTCTAACCATCAATTAAGTAGGTTTGAACCAATATAAATATACATCTTTGAGTGTTGCCCCTCACTTTTGAAGGAACTTGGGGTCCCGTCACTTTTCTCTTTTAAGTGTTGCCCCTCACTTCTGAAGGAATTAGGGGTAAGGTCATAACTTTTTCTCTTCGTCCTAAACTTCTCAATCAGTTGATTTAGTAGGAAAATAGCCTCAGTTGTTGACCTCCCCGGCATAAAACCAAATTTGCTTTCTGATACACCCGTTTCATGCCTTAGTTGTCGCTCAATCACTTTCTCCCACATCCTCATATTGTGGCTCATAAATTTAATTCTTCGATATTTCGCAGAATTCTGTATGCCTCATTTGTTCTTGAAAATAAAATACATACCATAGTACTTTTACTCCATTTGTCTGGTATTTTCTTTGTTCTCAACACATTGCTAAACAGCTTGGTCAGCCAGTCAATGCCAATCTCCCCCATGCACTTCTAAACCTCTATCGAAATACCATCTGGTTCTAAAGCTTTTCCTATCTTCATCTTCTTCAAAGCTTCTTTCACTTCTAATATCCTAATCCTATGAATGTATCTATGACCTTCGCCCTTATTTATGCCAACCGTTCCTTCTATTGCTATGTTCCTATTGTGTTCATCATTTAATAATATTTGAAAATAAATTCTCTACCTTTCGTTGACCCCTTCATCCTTCACAAAGACTCTTTGATCCTCACTCATAATGCATTTAATATGGTCTACATCCCTATATTTTTTCTCTCTCACTTTTGCTAATTTGAAGACATCTTTTTCACCTTCTCTTATTCTCAGTTTATCGTATAAATAATCATATGCCTTAAGTTTAGCCTTACGTACTATTTGTTTAACGTTTTCTTAGCATTTTTATATTCTTTTTAGTTTTGATCATTTCTATTATATTGCCAAGTTTTATAACACGATTGTTTTTTGCTAATAACTTTTTAAACCTCATCACTCCACCACCAAGTTTCCTTATCGGAATTTCTTTTCTCCTACAATTTCTTTAGTCACTTTCTTAATACCATGTTATTATATATAACATTGACTTCATGCCTAGAGTTCCATTCTCCTTTTTTAACTACTTTATCCTTAAATAAGTCTATTTTTGCACTGCTTAAATTCCAGCAACTAGTTCTTGAACACCTATTAATTTCACCCATTATCTTCCATGTCTTTATGTAGACATCCATAGCCGCTTAAATTCCAGCACCTAGTTCTTGAACACCTATTAATTTCACCCATTATCTTCCATGTCTTTATGTAGACATCCATAGCCATGAGTCTATGTAGATAGCCAAACTCTCTCCTAAGACAACCTTACAATCTTTACATGATAGTCGATCTATCTTCTTAACTAGGAAGAAATCCATCTGGCTTTTATGTGATCCACTTTTATAAGTTATTAAACGCTCACCGCGCTTTTTAAAGTGTTTGCTATTGCTAGGTCGTGGACCATAGCAAAATCTAGAATAGTCTCACCCATCTCATTGCTTTCACCAAATCCGTATCCCCCGTATACCCCTTCATATCCTCTATTATCCTTCCCTACATGTCCATTTAAGTCCCCTCCTAAAAAGGCCATCTCTCCATTTGGTATGTCTTGCACTAGTCCATCCATGTCCTCCCAAAATTGTCTCTTAAGTTTATCCTATGGTCTTACTTGTGGTGCATAAGCACTAATTATGTTAATTATATCTTCCCCTAATACAAGTTTAATTAATATGAGCCTATCACCTACTCTCTTGATATTAACTACTTGATTGTTTAAATCTGTCAACTATTATGCCTATACCATTTTTAATTTATCCTTTCTTGTGTACCAAAGTTTATACCCATCTATGTCCTTTTTTTTCTCCTTTCCACTTAGTTTCCTGTAGAAAAGCTATATTTGCACTCATTTGCCTCATTCTATCCACTAACTCCATACTCTTACCTATAGGCGTTCCAACATTCATGTGGCTAGGTAATTCATATTCTCTTGGACTAGCTTCTTTACCTACACTCGTCGCAAGAACCCTTGCCTATTTTTTACCTCAACCGGGCAGCATTGTGGCGTGTCGCTTTTGGGATAACCCTAGCTCATTTCGCACTAGATCTGAGTTCTAGTATAGCACGTCGTTTATAGGGAAAGCCCTAGCATAGGCAGATATCGTAGATTCCTGATTCATGAAAAGGTTACGTTTGTTACCTACCTAACACAACCCACCCCTTTCACCTAGACCCACCCCTTTCACCTAGGCTTGGGATGGGTTAAGGGAAAGTTTATGGTCCTCACCCTTCTTAGACTCACTAGAAACCCTAACTACTTTCCCATATTTCCTAAGCTGCCCCTAAAATCCCTACAAAACCCGACTACCCAAAATTAGCATCCAGGTACTGCAACCTGGCAGTTTGCATCCGAAAACAGGTATCAACAGCAGCAAGGATGGGATGTCCACTAAAGGAACCGCCGTCCTAAAGACTTCATTTATCATGTTTCTATTTGATATGCCAGGAAAGTTTATGGCAAGAAAAATGTGAAGTTGAATAAAAATGATGGCAGTGGTGTCCATTTCAAATGTTCTTCGGCTTTCAAAAATGCAAAAATGCATCCATCCCCATTCCCTTTCTATTTGTCGACCCTTTCACATTTAACTGTTGCAAACGTATCTCCTAGTATTCACCTTAGCATAGTGCATCTGGCAGATATCACGAACATTTGCCGGAGAAAGACAAAAGGACAGTGAAGATCTTGCAACCTTGTATTTCTCCCAAGACAAAGATAGATCAATTGTAAAGTACATAAATATAGGTACCACCCAGCTATCCTTAAAGAGGCGGTCAACAATCTCACGCATTACAAAGGCATCATGTAAGAAGTGAGGGGAATAGCATAACAAAATGTATAAGTATCCAGCCTGAGTTGCCAATGCCACAGTGCGATGTTCAGGGTCTGGATAATGGCAAATCTGAGAATAGAGGTCATCATGCAGCAAGCAAGAAACTATCGAATCCACAACAGTTTTGGGGAAAGGGAATCTAGCAAAAAGATCCTCAGGTTTCTGGACTGAAATCATAGAGCCAAATGAGGACTTTAAAAGAACACATTGAGAAGGTATGAAAGCAGTTGAAGAGGGGAATGAGGAGCCAGGTCCTGGTGCATATGCACGACAAAGCAAGCGTATGAGATCAAGATTAGAAGTCCCAAAGGAACCATCAAGGCGCATAAATGCAACAAGCAATTTCTCCCGCAAAGTGCCACCCATACGATGCTCCAGTAGGAGCAATAGAACTCCAAAAAGCACTAACGATTCTGATAACAACTGCCGACAGCGCTGCATCTCCAAGACACTATCCAGAGTACTTTGTACATACACACCTTCCTGCCAATATACACAGCATAAGTAACTGATAGGGAGAAGGAAGATGATAGTTTTTAAATACTAAAACAAAAAAGTTAAAAATATGAAATTTATGGCTTATTTGGATTGTCTATAAGTCATCAATGCAGCAGACTCATATAGGAAGATCTATCATATAACGTTTGATGCGGCACACTTTACTATGATAAAGAAGCATGCCTTAACATTAAACGGGGGGCTTATCCTGGAAGGGTTTAAACTCCAAAAGGTATTTTGTCCCCCATAGAGAACATTGTGATGCTCTGCACCAAGTTATCCATGTGATGCAAGCATGCAATTAAAAAACAGAAGCAAATGTCATGCTGTCAGAAACACTAGAATGATGATAATAGAATTTTATTTGAGAAAATTCATATACACATCCGCTTGCAAATAAGTATTTGTATAGATATAAACAAGGTCCCAACAAAAATGCTTCCTGTAAATGCAAAGTTTAGAGTGAAGCCAGTAAAAGCAGGAAAAAGCATTTTGCCCTAATATAGTTCTACTTACAATCTTCTATAATCAATTTGTTGAAAATATCAGCAAACATGGTGCAGTTAATTTCAAGGAACTAAGCACTTAAGAGGAACATGGTATGCCTCCATCATGAATTTCCAAAGTGTACAAGTCCAACAAAGACCCATTACACTGCGAACTCAACTTTCTAAGAGCCTAAGAATGCTTCCAACTCTGTCGTTCACATAAAATCTACACAATATAGCAGGAGAGTTGGATGGATCTAGGTGCTTGCTTAACATGTTCAGTTAGTTCCAAATGCACATTCTTTGCAAATCCAGATTCCTAGGCATGCTTTCCACCACTACTAAATCCATCTTTAGTACGAGGAATATCCATGTGCAAATTACTTTTATGAAAATAGAGAATCCCCATTTCCTTTGAAACACTCATGATAAAAATATTTAAACCACATGCTAATACTCAAAACGCATAGCAACTTCAAAATAAATTATAGATGTTGTATTGTGACAATAAAAATCAGTTCTCTGTGAGTATACTGAGTGGATATCTATGTCACCAACAACAGCCAAGCTGGGTTTAGTTTACACTTAGCAATCAAAATTTGCCTTTTAACTGTCTATTGTGGTACTGATGGTCAGACAATATTAAATCTTTTCCACAAGGCTAGTGTCTAGATGCAAATACATAAATTCTTACAAGTGACCTAACCTTTCAAGGCCTTGTGTTTGCCAGCATGGTTCTCAGTTCCAAAGGGAATGATCGAGAACAATGAGGCTACTGAAGTCTGTGCAAATTGAGATTCGGTTAAAGCCTGAAAACCCCGGGTCATGAGGCGATTTTCTTGGGCCATTTTGTTTGAGACCAAAGGTTTGAGGGTTCCCTCTATTCAGGGTCAGTGTGAGAACCTCATGACGGTTGTGGCCAGGGCATGTGTGACTGTGAATCGATCATGTATTTCTGTGATTTGGTTTTCCCTATGTAAGTGAAATGGCCTCTGAGAGGACATAAGCCAAACCTCTGATTTATTGAGTTCGGTCACAACGTATGCACAAAACAGTCGCACTGGGAAGACGTTCTAATGAATCAAGACTGTGCACACATGTAGAGAGAGGAGCCCTTGCGTCCACAAGAGTGCATTTCCTCGAGGGTGCACCCGTAATCCACTGTAGTCTCGAAGACCGAACCACCTATTCGTTAGCTTTGATGGTCCAATAACGTGTCATGGCTTAAGACTGTGTCACATGGGGGCCTATCTAGCTGATTTATGAACGTGGTTTGTGTTTTCAGGAATAGCCCAGTGGAGTACCATTTGCCCAGCCTCCCAAGGATCCTAATTTCCCGAGTTAAATTTTTCTGGATAGTAGGAATGAAGAAATTCAAATAAAATATAATTAAAAATGACTTAATGTGATTTTTGAGTATTTTTGATAAATTTCTTTTAGTGGAAAATATTTTATAAAAATTGTTTTATCAAAAATACCATAATTAGGACTCTTGCACATGTGGGAGTGACACAAGAGTGGCCAATGTGTGTCACCCCCATGGGGCCACCTTGCCACATCATTGCATAGTGGGAGTGATGTGGACTGTCTAGTTAGGGCATGCAAAGGTCCATTTGTGAAGTAGAGATATTAGACATGTGTGTTGAGACCCATGTGGATTGTTTGCCCATGTGTGCATGTATGACGTGTGCTATAAGGAAGAGGAAACGAACAATTACACTATGTGCCATATGGTATTATGATGATAATGGAAGTTGCTTATAACACAACTTATTTTGTTGGCTCTATGAGAGAGTAAATTTAAATTGGAGCAAATTACGTACGGACACTTTTAGGGGGAGTCAATTACCAAATGAGAAGTCATTTGCCCGAAATTACAAGCACTCCACCCCCTCCCTCCCCCCCAATTTTTTTCCCTAAGTTGCCCTCATGTCCGGCAATTCAAACATCAGACAGAGGGAGGGCTAATTTTAAAGTAAAAGAGTTGTCCGGCATTTAAAATACCGGACAGGGAGAGGGCAATTTTAGTTGTTTGATGTCTTGTATTCGAAATACTAGATAGCTTTATGAAAAAATAAATTGGGACTCTTTCTACCCAAGGATAAACTTTGGCATCTCACTCAATGAACTGGCTCTCCCACCAACTTTCTCCACCACCTTAACCTCACCATCGCCTTGTGCCTCATGTTTCGAAGCTGGGAAAAATAATGTCTTTTGTGTTCCACTGCAATTGGCCCATGTTAACGAAGGGTAGCGACTTACTATGGGATCTAACCTGTGAGAACCCAACTATTTGAACTAGTCCTTGAGCATTCAACCCAATTCCTATGTAAGATTAAGAACATGGTCAGGAAATGAAGATCTATTCTGAAAGGGGAAGATGGGGAAATATTTTTGCAGGAAGCATTTACAAGGTGCAGGTTGGGGAAATATTTTTGCAGGGAGCCTTTAGAAGATGAACATGACACGTCCATTACAAAGAAGAAGAAAGCGAAAGAAAGAGATTTGTTTTTTAGATCTTTGTGGGAGACTCAATAAACAGGAATTGGGTAGAGACAACCAATGCTCCCCTATTTTTTTCAAATTTTTTTTTTTAAAGAGATGTCTGGTATTTTGAACATCGAACAGCCCTTGTCCAGAATTTGAAATGTTGGAAAGCTCTTTAACTTTTAAAATTTGCCCTCTCCTTGTCTGGCATTTGAATTGCCGGACAGGAGGGCAACTTAGGGAGAAAAAAAACGTCGCGCGCGATTGGGGGGAAAAGTGTCCATACGCAATTTACTCTTTAAATTAAGAAAAAAGGGGCACACCACGTCGTTAGCATGTTATTGGTCATTCAAAACAAGATTACGTTGTTTGTTAAACCAACAGTGATAACACACATTTTATGATAAAATGGCAGATATTTAAGGGAAATTGGAGGCATGTAAAGGAACAATGGTGATTAAGGGTGTAATATTAGATCCACACCATTCAATGATGACAATTCATACTGCAAGCTTAGGCTATGGTGATTTAGCCACTCTCAACCCTTTGATCATCTAACAGAGGGCTCGGATTCAATCTTATGATCACCACTCTATCTTGCACTCTATAAAAGGGCGTTGAGGCCTAGGGCTAGCTGTGCCTTTTAAGCACATTTTAGTGAGAGATCCTTGCCACTTGAGCCACCTAGTCAGCCCACTAGAACCCCACACACCAACCCTTTTTCATTCATTTTGTAGTTGACAAGACTTAGCGTCATGTCCACCATGTTGTGAAGTGAGCTCCCCACGCATATGCAGCCATGCAGGGGCTCCTCTCTCTTACATCATGCGTTACCATCATTGGATGGTGTCGATCTAATATTACACCCTTAATTGCCATTACCCATTAACAAGCCTCTAATTTCACTTAAATATCAAAATGCCTTTTTATCATAAAATGTGTGTAATCACCTTAGGTTTAACAAACAACAAAATCTTGCTTTGAGTGACCAATAACATGTAGATGAGGTGGGGTGTGCCCCTCTTTTCTTAATTTAAATTTACTCTCTCATAGAGCCAATAAGGTAACTTGTGTCAAAAGTAACTTTCACTATCACCATAATACATTATGACACAGTGTCATTGTTCATTCCTCTTCCTCGTAGCACATGTCAATATCTTAGTATACTTAAGCAATCCATATTTGACAACCCCATGAGACCATTTGACCTAGCCATATGATTGGGTCATTAAAAATAGTATTCAGAAAATATTGTAAATGTCATACATGCACACATGTGCATAATATTCACATGAATCTCAACACACATATCTCAATATCTCTACCACACAAGTGGACCTTTGCACGCCCTAACTAGATAGTCCACATCACTACCATTGGGCAGTGATGTGGCAAGATGGCCCCCATGGGGGTGACACACATTGGCCACTTGTGTGTCACTCCCACATATTGTGATGTGGATTGATCTATATCAATCCTATATCTTGATAAAGAGATAGTCTGGTAGAAAGATTCATATAGTTCTTTCTACCGTACTATCTAGTTCTTTCTACCGTACTATCTTCGCTATCCATATCCCATTAATTCAATCTAATCCAATCATTTAAGACTTGGAATTGTAAGAATTATAATCCCTTTCATTTCTTCAATCATTGATCATTGATAAGAACTAATAACACAAAATTCAACACTTTATTGTTTTTACGTAATGAGAGTCTTAATTATGGTATTTTTGATAAAAAGGATTGTATAAAATATTTTCCATCAAAATAAATTTATTAAAATACCAAAAAATCACAGTTTTCAATTATATTTTAACTAAATTTTTTCACCCAAGCTCTCCAGCAAAATCCAACTAGGGAATTAGGATCCTTAGGAGGTTGGGCGAATGGTACTCCACTGGGCTATTCCCGAAAACACATACCACATTCATAAATCAGCCAGATAGGCCCCCATGTGCACGGTCTTAAGCCAAGGCACATATTTGGACCCATCACAGCTAACTAATAGGCGGTTCGATCTCCGAGACTACGATGGATTATTGGTCCACCCCCGAGGACATGCACTCTTGTGGATGCGGGGGCTCCTCCCTGCATGTGTGCACAATTCTAATTCAGGGGATCTAACTTCATCAAACCAGCTTCCAATGCGATTGTATGGTGCATACATTGTGAGTGAACTCAATAAGTCAAAGGTTTGGCTTATGTCCTCTCAACAAACTAAGAACAAAGGCAGATCGAGCCTTGTGCACAAAAAGCAAGGAAAAATCTCTCAATTACACAATTCAGAAATAGGATTTTCATGTTGGATGGAGAATAAGGACATGTGCAGCTTGTGTTCGACCATATATCTAGTAAGTTAAGGAACTCCCTTTTATTTATTGATTGGGTCAAGGAACTCCCTTCTAAGTAGGTAAAACTTGACTATCTCATATCCGTTATAGATGAGGCTTTCTATTAGAGACCTATCATGCCTACTTTATTCATCATTCTGCCCCTTATAAGTAAGCCGCACCTCTTAATGCACCATGATATCCAATAATATAAGGGGGGGCAAACATAGGAACCCAGTGTTCATTTAACCAACATGAGTTAATCATCATCCTCCACGTTGACATTTCCTAACCATTCAAACATGCAATTCAATGGTTCCATTGCATCCAATCTAAAATATTAAGTCTGAAATGAAAAGGAAAAAATGGCATCAACTATTAGGAACCTTGGCTTTCAAATGACATACCTAAGTCCCAGGGATAGAAAATAAACAAGTGATTGCAATAAGAAAAAAGTGGCCTCAAAGGGGGGCACTATGCTGACCATGTAACATAAAGCCCAGAAGGGTGACATCAAAGATTTAAACACACGCGAGCTGCAAGTATGCTTGCATACCTGCAAATCATTCAGATACTTGACCAGGTCTCTGTAATACAAAGCAATGCCATTCATGAGCAGGAGAAACCTTTGCAAGAAAACAGAACAAGTTTCACGAAGTTGGTCATCAAGTGCTGCCAAGTGTGAATTTGACTCGATTTTCTCCTCAAAATCATCTGGAGAATCCAAGTATCTGAAAATAGACAATATCATTCTATAAGCACCTCAAAATTTGACCCTTTTTTTGAAGTCAAAAGAAAAATAGCATAAAGCAGTGTTTGAGCAAAAGGTGACAAAGGAAAGACGTGCAGAGTATATAAACATGCCTATAAGAACTAAAACAAAGGAAAATAAAATACTGATTATTCGGACAGTCCTGTTCTTGACATGCCTATTTGATCAATAAAATGATAGACACTATGCATAGAAGCATTCATTAATAACATACAAACAAACAATCAGTTGTACAAAATAGACAGCAAAGACCATAAAGCATTCCTACCATGGGACATGCATTCAAAAAATTTTGAACAAAGAACCCCCTTGCAAGGAACTCTATATTTCTATCAAAATCCAAAAATTGCAAGCGAAATAAAAGAAAAAGTACAACTAGAAACATTATTTACTCTGAATGGATATTGAAAGCATTGCTTTGATGGGTAACTTTTAATGAACAAGAGGAATTTGTGCACATTGACATGCCACAAGGATAGATCGCATTGAGCCACAATTGAAGACAAAACAAATCAAAAGGAGAGACAAAACCAACATCAATGCCAGGGTAGATTCTCCCTTATCAGATTGTAGACTCCGTTTGTACCCTCCCTTGGATAGGAGTCAGCAACCAAATTAATAACCCTCGATGTGTTCTACTACAACTTCAATAGCATCTACTCTCTTATGTAAGGGATTCAATCCATAGGGTACTCTCAGTGAGTTATATTTTCCACCTCAATTTGTTCAATATATTATGCTGTCTAATTGAAACAAATAAAATGGATAAGTGTGACTAATGAAATCGAAAAAAATATATATTGGAAAATCACTTGAGATTAAACAACCTGCGTTCAGAGAGAGAGACTAATATCAACATATCGAACACTCTTCACAATTTACATCAAAATGAGACAACTTAAATGTGTTGTGTATTGCTGATGCAGAGAATCAAGAGTACAGCAAAACAAAAGAAAGGATACAGATAGAATGAGGATCAAAAAAGCTAATCATTGGACATAAGGGTCAAAATGAAAGGATACAGATAGAAAGGAGAAACTAATATCACATAGTAATAATTCATCCTTCACATTTAATGCCAAAATGAAACAAACAAACTCTGAGTGGTGCGTAATAATTTAACAATAGCAAATGAACAGGACAAAATTACCTGAGAATGAATAAAACCACCATGCTGTAAATCCTATTACATTCCAAATAAGATAACAGTGGAATTGAAAGCTTAATATTCTGATTATCAAAATTAAGGCAACTCAGAACAAGAGATTATGAGTTTGCAGCACGGAGGGACGGGTTGGGTTGAGAGAGAGAGAAAGAGACCATCCAGTTCAGTGTATAGAGAATTTTGAAGAAAGATAGACAGAGATTTCATGAAATCAATAAAAAGTGTCTCACCTGAGATCGAACAACACGGAATCAAAGCGACTATCACCGAACTCATGAGGAACTCTACCAGACAAAAGCAGGAGCTCCGAAATTAGGGTTTGAGCACAGCAGGTGAAGTTCAGGAGTTCTGAAATTGAGCCATCAGAATCCCCTTTCTTCAGTGCATCACCATCCTCTGAAGAATCCATAACCAGCTCCCAAAGACCAGTTAATGGCGAATTACGGTTATTACAAGCGCGAACAGGCTTGCAATGTGGGAGAGAGAGAATGGAGGGAAATTATGCCATTGTTATTTCATGGTAGACATGCTGTTCTGCACTGAACAAACCATTTTCACTTAAAATTATATTCGGTATATGATCACCGTCTACTTGAGATATGGACGATTGCAATTCACAATTTCAAATCAAACCAAACAAATACTGGCAAGAACTAGTAAAATGGGAAAAAATGTAGAATAAGTTCAAACCTTTGGAAATTTATCCAATGTGTAATAAGAAATTAGCAATTTAACACCTTACTTATATTTTAAAAATTTTATTTTAAAATATTTATAAAAATGTATCCCCCAAGGTATATATCATCCAACTTAAAGATGAACGCCAATAGGTGATCTATGAAAGAAATACTAATGTGATCTTGCTGGAGAAATTTTTTTTTTTTTTTCTTTTCGCAAAGATCACTTACAAGTAGTTTTATTACAATAACTATTGCTTCAAATAAAATAAAACTAACAAATCCAATATCTTAAAAACATTGATGCCACTAAACCAAATTTCTTTTAATTAAATAAAATATCCACATTATTTTATGCTTGAGAATATAAAAAACAATATAATTAAATATAACAGGAAAGAGTGACGGATATTATCTCAACCGAACTTATTACACTCACACCAAGTCACCATTATTCGATGGCGCGGGATCAATGATTAACCTTTAATCTCAACTGGGAAAGCAAGTTTAAGCCAAGTCACACCATTAGAACATGAACTCATGTGATCACAAACTCGAATCCTATGTAAATTCCCTTGGCAACTTAGATTGAGAGAGATAGATTCTCTTTTTGCTATACCCTAAAACCCTTAGCTATAAATATATAGTTTAGAAATAAGAGAGAGAAGAACCCCATAACTAAACCCTTGGCTCTTTTTTACAATGTAGGATAGAGAGATGAAAGATGAGAGAGTGGGGCGATCCCCCTTTAGGCTTTCATGAGAGAGATAATCATTTTTAGAAGAGAGATAGATAAAGTGTAGAGATTTTGGTAGAGACAATCTATTTTTATAAGCTTTAAATAATATTAGGGTTTTTTTTTTACTTGCATCTTTTTGTGAGATTGAATATGAATCATTAATCTCATCCCCTTATTTCCTTTCACCATTATCTTATCAATATAAATCAAATAAAATATTATTAATCATGATGTTGTGTTTTATCCAAAACTATACACAAGCTAACATGATTCACTCAAATATTATTTAACCACTTATCCAATAAAAGAAAGGAAACCCATAAAAGTGGGGCGTGCCACCCCATAGGAATAGGAAGCCCAAAAAACTAGAGCGTGCCACCCATGTGGTGGCTTTGTTGGCCCACCAATTTAGAGCATGGTGGGCCCATGTGTACAATAGCCCCCAATGCTATTTAAAAATCAATAAATAATTTTAGAATTAATTTGAATATTTAAAACATTAAAAATCAATATCTTCGTTTTGATAAATCCAAATTTTATAAATAAAATATCCAGATATCTAGAAAAATTCAATTAATAATTCTAAAATCATATCATCATAAAATAAACACAATTAAATTTATTAGATTGGATAATGATCCATATGGTCTATGAATAAATAATCTGAAGCACTCCACTGTAGACACGGTCCACACTTACTTTATCAACCGACCTAGTGTTTCCCATGACCCTACAGTCCATGCAGGGGCTCATTAGTGGGTCACCAAAGTCTGGTTGATAAGTCAATGGGTCGTAATCACAGTTTGTGGATTTTACGTTATCCCCAAGAGACGTATCAAGGTCATCTAAACCTGATGCAACTACAGCTCCTACGATGCATATGGGTATCTCTCACACATGCATAAACTTCACCTTTAAAAGTAGTCCGCTTTCTCGAAACGACTATCATTATACATGTTGTGTGGCTCGTGGATGAGGCTTTGGCCATGTCTCTAAAGGTTACCATCATACAAGGGTCACACAGTCCCTCGACTCACTCATCTAGGAATACTCTGACCTCATAAAGGTATAACCTTTCAGAACCCTCATCGGATAGTTTTCTATGCCCAGGTAATATAGGTTTTTCCCACCTGACTAGCCTAGCTCGTTAAACTCAATCTGGTATCAGCAAAGATTATTTGCTTAGTACTGTCCACGAGGGACCACACTCCAACTGAGTTTATGTTCCACTATATCATTTCATTTTACAAACACTCATAAGGTCTTAAAGGCCACACTCACCCAACAGTCCATCTAAAAAAAAAAGTTGAAAACTAACAGTTCAAATGTTTTCTTTATAAAAATTACTATTTATAAATTTTAAATTTATATAATGTCTCCATGTTAGAATTATAGGTCATTAAAAATTGGGTGTGGTTTGTATAGAGCCGAGATCTCACCTTCAAATAGTGTCAAGAAATGTGATTTCAATACTAAAAATCTTTGTGATAGTCCTAAAATATATTTTCATCTTTAATTATAATATTTAAAGCTTAAAAAATGGTGTAGATTAAGCAGATCTATGAAACTTGAAAATCTTGAAAATGGACGGTAAAAAAATGCATTACAAGATGCGCTATTTTCAAAACTTGAAATCAATTTTTTTATTATGTCTATGCATCTTGGTGTCAAGATGATCAATTTGAGGATATTTGGGCCTCAAAATAACTTCTTATAGTAAAAATTTTGAGGTGGGTTCTAATTTGATTGTTTAGAGCCTCGGCTCTATATAAATTTTTTCCTTAAAAATTAGCTCAAAAAATCCATCTAAAAAATATATTTTTAATAGGGGGCTCATTTCTATATAGACTAATAGAAATGGTTGAATGGTTCATCTCCTATCAGTATTTTGATGAATTCTGATTTTAAATTTGTTAATTTAGTAATTATTAAAAGACGCACATAAATATGTAGACCAAAACATTCATTCTTAAGAATATCAAGCTAGCACCTTTTTATCTTCTCTAAAATTGATGGCATATATTTATGGACCCGGTTTCTATGTGGTCAACGCCGCATATGTAGAGATAAGGGCAATGCTGCATGTATAGAAATGCCGGCCTCTTAATAAATCTACTTTTGAGATGGATTTTGGGGCTTAATTTTTAAGGACATTAATCTCTAACATAGCGATCATGACTATGACAAAATAAATAAATTTTTAAAACCATAATTAGCAATTATGGTGAGAAAACATTCGGATAGTTAGTTTCCATAGTTTTTAGATGAAACACATACTGGCATCCATCTTTAAGATGGATGCTTTACACTTTCTAGACAGCAGATGTAGAAATACGGTCCAACCGGGATATTGCAGTTTTCGCTCCCATAGAAGATCATATTTGAGATTTTTTTAGTGTTTCTTTTCCCTTTCTCACCGGCTTTGCATGCCAAATTTGGAACCAAATCCCAAATGCCCCCAAAATAGGGCAAGGCCCACGTTCTCACTACTTACCCTTAGTAAAAAATATTATTGAGAAAAAGATTTTTAGCAATGCCTAGACCCTATTTGAATGGCTAAAAAATTATCAGTCTGGTTTATAAATTCTAAATCATCTATAATTATCAGTCTTGTTTATAAATTCTAAATCATCTATAATTTAAGTGTCATTGACTAGAGTTAAAAGTTAAAAAAAAATAAAAAAAATTCGAAGCTTGTCACACATTATAAATCAACTAATTTGACATTTAATGACTAGGAGTAACTGTGACATCCATGGAATAATAATAAATTGTGTCATAGTATAAAGTCCCTTACATGTACATGTTGTTATTGATTATTCAATTTGTCTATGAAATTAATCATGATAATGAATTACTTGTTATTCGGTATTTTAGTAAGAGATAATGACCAATAGCAGAATATCACAAGATTTTAAATCAATAAATAATATTATAATAATGATCTTATACTCATGTATGTAGGACCTCAAATGATCGCTATTAAATTTGACACAGATCTCTAAAAAAGTTATCATATAGATTTAAAACTTCACTTTTTTAAAGATTCGTGTCAAATTTAACGACGATCATTTGAGGTCTTACATACATGAGTATGAAAGGGTATCGTAGAATCATTCCTCTAATATTATATAGCAAAGAGCTCACAAAATTATATTATGCACAATACATTAGTTTCATATAAGATCGTATACTCCAGATATGATAAACTATCATCAAAATCTGCCAAGGCTAACTACTTATTTTGAAATGGAAAATGTCTTGATAAGGCCAAGAGAGAGAGGATAGAGATCGGGTGGAGAGAGAGAGGATTGAAAAAGGTAGTTTAGTTTTTAACATATTATCTTTTTGACTGAGGTAAAAGCAAATAAAATTCGTAATTGGGTTAAAGGCATGATTAAGGTAAAAACAAATAAAATTTGTAACTGGGTTAAAGGTGTGATATGAAAAGTAAAGGGGGGTTAGATTTCTACAAAGTACATTCGAAAAAATATCCATAACTTTCCCTAAAATTATATTTTTTACATAAATATAAAATAAAATACGAAGTAAAATAAGATGTTGAATAAACACTAAGGGCCAGTTTGGATGTCACAGTGAAAAAAAAAAAATGTAAGTTTTTCTACCTCAATTAGAAAACATTCACATCTTATATCATTATGTTGGTTTGGATGTCTAATTTAATTGATTTGTCAAACAAAAAAAAAAACCCTCGACCCAATCTTAGTTCCCTAAAAATGTCGGCAACCATACCCCATCTTCGCTTTGCCGGACCCAATTCTGTTATCATAACTTCCGGCCAAATCTCGCCATTTTCAGGCCAAAAATCGCTGGAATTCAGTGACCATGAGAGAAAAACCTTGCAACAACCTGGTCCATCTTCTCTTGAGGCAAATTCTGCAAACTTGCGCTAAGCTTCTATTTCTCCTCAAAACTCATCTCTCTTTTATTTGGGTCTCTTGCTTTAAGACTTGGGCTGCTTTCCAAGCTGAACAGGTCTTATTCCAACTAGGTTTCCCCTCCTTTGGTCTTTTAGAATCCATGGATCCGACTTCTTTGAGCTTTGGGGTTTGCCTCTTCTCTACGGCATTTCAATTTCTGGCGAAGTTGCTGGTTTTTGTACTGGAAACTTACCAGAAAAGGAATTCCGGTGAGCCTTTTCAACAGCCCTTCGCCTCTCCTCATACCCATTAAAAGCAGGGTTCCACAACTCTTCGAAAAAACCTAGAAGCTGCTCAACCATTATGTTCATATCATGGCCCTTGGGGTTATATGTTAGGGCATTGTGGAAGGTGAGCCTCACATCAGCTGCAAATTCAAATGGGGTTGAATAAAAGCTATGGTTTAGCCTAGTTTTCGCATTGCCAAAAGCTATGGTTTAACCTAGTTTTCGCATGGCCAAGATCCATGGGGTTCTTGACAAGGGTATAGTAATCATGTAACCCCATTCCCACTACATCAACAGGGACATTGAAGACCAATCCATGCGTATGCTTCATGAGGTTGGTCAAGATTTGGCCGCACCTCTTCATGAAATCTGAGATCTAAAGAAATTGCCATTCTTTTACCAGATTCAGGAACCTTTGTTACGGGATTTGGCCTCTTAATTTGGCCTCTTGGATCCACCATAAACCTTCTTATTCTCTTGCGCGGGTATCTTCTCTTTCCCCATAACAAACTCAGAGGCTCCATAATACTGGTTTGCTTTAGGGATTCTCTTGTCTTTTGGGCCCTAGCCTATAAATCTAAGGTTTGGAGGCTCAATGGAGGTGGGCGACCAGAACCAGGGTTTTCATCTAAAATTTTTTTTTATGGCAACTTTTGGCTTGGTACTTGCAGACTTTTTTTTATTTCAATATAAACTTCTAGTAAAATTTTGTGTTGTCCAAATAAAAAATCTATTGTCCTGTCCAAATAGCTCAAATTAATTTCACAAGATTTTTGGATTGTAATCCAAAAATATTGTAGTTTTGGATACATCCAAACTGGTCATTAAAATATTGTAGTTTTGGATACATCCAAACCGGTCATTGAAAAGTAAATTCAATAAAATGTAAAAATTTTACTATGTAAATCTTTATAAAATCTATTGACATCTTCCTCACAGTAAAATATAGAGATTTTATAATGTAACATTAGTAAAATCTATTATTAGATCTTAATCGTGATGAAAATAAGTAAAATCTATAGAGATTTTATAATGTAACATTAATAAAATCTATTATTAGATCTTAATTGTGATGAAAATAAGTAAAATCTAAAGCTTTTTCTAGGGAAAATTACAAAAAAAAAACACATAACCACACTTTCTATGCAACTTACCTTGGCCTAACTTTTTCTCTCACTTTTTTCCCGAAGCAAACTATCTATGCAAATACCCCCAAAATAAAAAGTTCAGTTTTAAACGGAAATGTTTTTTTGTACACAAAAATCAGTTTGGCCAGATTTGTACACAAAAATCACTTTGGGCAGATTTGATATTTGACTTTTAGACCCAGTAGCACATTATCGGAGAGCACAAGTGCCGGACTGCACCGCCTTAAGATAACTAATCGGAGGGCACAAGTGCCGGACGGCCCTAAGGCAACTACCATTTACTGCCGGACGCCGTTTGCAACTGTCGAACTACTATTGCTAAACCACTCTTTATATAGTGTCAGATTCCTGTAATCCAGTAACATCTACTGACGGATGCCATTTGCAACTGCCGAACTAGAGTGTGGAAGTCCTACTGTGAGACAACACTTATAGAATGCCGTGGCCCTATTGTCTCACTGCACTTACACAATACCATTGTCCTATTTTAGTGGAAGAGAGAAATGTGTACTTTTTTAGTGGTAGATAGACATGAGTAAGGTAAAAGTCAAGGAGGGTAGTTTAGGTATTTTTTATTTATATTTTTGATTGAGAGGTATTTACATAAAAAGTGTATTTTGGAGAAAAAAATAAAAAATAAGCGTAATATTGTTTTTCGTAATAATTTATTTATTTATTTGATTATAGATTCAAAGCTCCATTACTCCTTTTTGTAGAATTACTAAGAAAAGAAATAAAAAAAGAGAGAGAAAGTTGGAGTAGCTTTGAGACCTGAGTATTTGGGGAGCAACAATGAAACGCAGATATATAGGGAGAGAGAGACAATAAGAGAGAATGGTAGAGAAAGAGACGTCTTTCTAACTTTGTGCACTAGTTTTAGAGAGAGAATCTCCTTCGAACCTAGTTTTAGAGAAAGAAAATCCCCTGCAAACCTATTTTTAGAGAGAGAATCTCCCTTCAACCCTCCTGTGTCCTTGTCCTTGCAAACCTTATTTTAGAGAGAGAAAGGCCTTTTAACCTAATTTTAGAGAGAGAATCTCCCTTCACCTCTCCTGTGTCCTTGCAAGTTGCAAGAGAGAGAAGAGTTTGTAATCATAACAAAAAAAACATATCGGGTAACTATTGGTGAAGATAGCGACTTCCGCTCTACAAGTGAAAGCATTCATAAAATCAAACCTAAGCAAGGGAAACTATTAAAAAATCCCCCAATTTCTCATGTCCATTAGCGACACCAAACTTTCCCCCCAATTTAGCGGTGAGAGCATATACTTTTCTCCCGCTGTTGCATACTGTGCATCTACACCCGTGGTCATGGCACTTAACTAGGTACAATAATTTAGAAACCATATAACAATCACTAAATTGTATAACAACCACTAGAGCATTATTGCTAAGAGCATGTAGGAGCATATTATGCGTCTACTTCCTCTCTCAAAATAGGAGTTTGTTTTTTAGGTTAAGTTTTTGTCGGCCACTTGAGATTTGCAAGATGAATATTTCCAAATGAAAAAATTTGAATTTTGAGTCATGTGACACTTAGATTTAGCCCTTCAAAAATTCGACGGCCTCTATTCAATATTGAACCAGTAGTATTTTCTAGTATATAGTTTTTATTTTTTACTTTTTATTTATTATTGAGATTAGTTTATGGGGGTGTAGAGATTTATATCTCACAATTTGAGAGCTAAATAGTTAACAATATCCGGAGCATGTATTTTGCCGGAGGGAGTAAATGAATAACATACTCTCGAGGTAGTTGGAAACATTTTAGTTATTTTTTTTTTAAATTCAGTTTTAAGAGTCATACCTTAAAGGTGCACTTTTTATTGAGCCAAGGCTCTAAACAATCACAATAAAACACACCATCAAATAGTATTACGAAATATGGTTTCAATACTGGAAATATTTATGTTAGCCTTAAAATATATTTTTATCTTCAATTATAAAATTTAAAGCTTAAAAAATAGTGTGGATCGAGCAGATATATAAAAACTTAATAATCTTGAAAATTAACCATAAAAAAATATATTACAAGATGCACTATTTTCAAAACTTGAAATTCATTTTTTTCTCAAGTTCATGCATCTTGATGCCGGAATGATAAGTTTGAGGATATTTGAGCATCAAAACAATATTTGTAGTGAAAATTTTGAAGTAGGCTCTAATTTGATTGTTTAGAGCCTCGGCTCTTTAAAACTTTTTCCTTGATTATTATATTGGTTTTGCCTGAGGAGGAAATGGATAGTAGATTCCCTATGTGGAGGAAATATTTTTCTAGGTTTAATGATTTCCAATTTCCTATTAATCACTGGACCAATTCCCTAAAACATGGGGAACTCACGATTACCACTCAAAATTTCACCAAATTTGGTGATATTTGATCTTTTAATTCCAATTTGGAAGCTCCAATTCTATACAGCGACCGGAGGGATGACTCCAATTCTGTACAGCGACCCGAGGGATGACTCCAATTCTGTACAGCGACCCGGGGGATGACAGTAATGGTGCACTTACATCATCTATCAACCCCAAACCCCACACCAAGTCCGCATTAATGGCATTTTTTTTTTAGCCTTGAGCCGATTCCATTACTGGCAACTCTAGTTGGTCGAAATGTTATCTCTCTCTCTTACCTTGTGAAGACTCGAACAAAGTGACCCATTATTATGGCCATTAATACTCAGACACTGAACGAATAAATTATCTGGTTTTCCAGGTCATGGAGAATCAACCCATGTTGACATATATGAAGCTGAAGCTCTGATTCCTGGAAATTTGGATTTTGATGTGTTTTTGGAGTTGGGTTTTTAATTTTTTCAGTTTCGGTTGTGAGAATGGGGTGTGAGGGTGCTTCTGGAGATGAAAAGCCTTCGACAAATTTGGCGGGCGATTCGCGTATCAGGCCTTCGATTCCTCTAAATTTGGTGGGAGGTATAAGACCTTCGACTCCGCTGAATTTGGGGAAGGGAGATGGAGTTTTGAGCTCGTCTCAGAGGAAGAAGCTTGAGGCATTCTTTGCTGAGAGTGATGAGAGGGATCTTGGTCGAGGAATGGCTGTGGGAACCACACCAGTCGATATTCGAGGCAACCCAATTCGTGATTTTTCGAAGACTGGAGGATGGATTGCTGCTTTCTTCATTTTTGGTATTTTTTTTTTTTTCTGTTGTTCCATGAGTTGTATTCAAGTTCATTTTTTCATGTGTGATATGTTATAGAGTTTATTTTGATGGGGACAAACTGCAAAGTCTTCGACTTTTGGAATGTTGGAAGAGTAGTTCTGTACTGTATGTTATGTTGATGCCTTCTATAACAGTCACTTGTCTTCTTCTTCTTTGGCTTTTTTTTTTTCTTGTTCCTTTTTTTCTAACTTTTTATTATAAAACTGTTTTTTAGAAGAAATTTATAGATTGGTTATTGCATAAAATTCTTTTGGCTTTTAATTTGTAGGTTTTTAATGTTATTATTCTAGAATCAAATTTCACTTGATTTTTAAGGCTGACATTGGTATGGACATAATAATATCTTGTAACTTTGTTATCAAGTGGTTATTTACTTATTTTAAAGTTTAACTTCAACTAATAATAAATCCTTTTACCTTTATGTAGCATGGTTTTTAGGAAATATTTATGTGATGTCAATAAAAAAAAGGGGAGAGATAATCTGCTAAAGACTTGTTGTTGGTTCCCTCCGGCCGGCCATCCATCAGCGCGATGAAGGAAACGTAGTCGATGTTCCGAAAGCGTAACTTGATAAGCCAAGCAAGCCTAAAAGGACGCAATGGCGCCGTAGACAGTCAAGTAAAATCCAATCCACCAAAGAATTTGATCTATGGACAGCATCGTTGTGGTAAAGGTCGTAATGCCAGAGGAATCATTACCGCAGGGCATAGAGGGGGGGTCATAAGCATCTATACCGTAATCTATTTTTGGCGAGAGTAATTTAAAAAACTAATTCAAGGCCATTTGACATTTTTGTGGTATGAAGAGATACTTTTTTGACAATTTTCTCTCGATGTAACCTCATTTCTTGTACAAATTATTCAATTTAATTGCTCCTAAGGAGGAATAGATCTGTGTTTTTTTTTTTTTTGCCACTATTTCAATGAAATGGCTTGTGAATTTCTTTAATTCAGTACTGGTTTTATTCACTAATTTCCATAAGCGGATCATACCTTCTTATGTGCTAAAAGATTTGACCTTGTATTTTTAAATTTCAACTCAGTGAGTGACAGTCTCACATTTGAAATATCTAGTATTACCTATCATGTTTTGGTTCCAATAACATGGTAGTCCCCTTATTTATATAATCTGGAACATGATAGCCGCTGCTAATCCCCTTATTTATTTAATCTGAGGGTTTTTATTAAGTATATTGTAGTTCTGTTTGATGGCTTGCTTAGGTACTAGGACTGTGCCTCTTTATTGTTAGCTTTGGTGTTTAATTTATTTGCTTCTGTTTGTTTCTATGGTAAGTTCATGAGATTAAAAAAATAAAGCTATTTGAGATAAAATTCGATCTGGATGTTCTTTTTTGGGTACATATAGGGTTTGGGTTTGAATTACGCTTTTAATTTTCCTGCCAGGCAATGAGATGGCAGAAAGAATGGCATACTTTGGGCTTTCAGTGAACATGGTACTGTTCTTGTTCAATGTCATGCACCGTCCATTCACGGCATCTGCAAACACAGTGAACAACTTCTTGGGCATTTCTCAGATCTCCTCCATTTTAGGTGGATTCCTCGCAGATGCCTATCTTGGTCGATATTGGACTATAGCAATCTTCACAACACTCTATCTTGCAGTAAGATCTAAATGTAATCCATGCTCTTTCTTTCCATATTTTATTCTCTAGTCTCATAGCTATATGATAGTTGGATATGCAATGACTGCCACAAAAGCTATTTACGGGAGTTATGTAACTCTTGTTCATATAATTTGTCAAATGATCTCTCTCTCTCTCTCTCTCTCGCATACACCAAAGAATGTGAAGTGGGTGGACATTGTGTACCGGCAACAAGGGATGGAGGCCTTGGCGTCCCTTCTTGGCTGGGTGGAGCTCCAGCGAAGCTCACCTTGCCAGGGAGGATGGAGGCTTCTCTGCCCCTGTTCACACATTAAGAGATTTGAAGGGGTGGTTTGAGGTTTCTACACCAACATTTATAGAATTGATCTCAATATCTTTGATTACTGAGGCTAGTTGTAGAGTTAACTCTTTATTTAGGGGATGACTAGACTTTCCAATGGATTATGGAAAACCATATTCAGCAGGGGTCATCAACATGAGATGAAATGATAGCTGTTTATGCAGAGAGAGTGGAATCGACCATTAGGCTTATGTCCTGCTCAGGCACTCCCATTCTCTCTATCACCATCCATCATTCCATTCGATGGTGGTCTTGCTGATGACTTACAGTTCTCTGTAGCCTGTTGCCTATCATGCTTTTCTTACAAGAAAGTGGGTGCTCATTCTTTTGGGTGGGTAATTCATGAATTGAAGACTGGATCTCGACCAAGAAGCTAAGCCCCTAAACTAATGCTTGCTCACTGTTTTATTACTACAGGGGTTAACTGCGATCACCCTAACTGCCACGATGAGCATTTTCAAACCAAGCCAGGCCAATTGTGACCAACTAATGCTTCTTTTGGGAGGTTGTGAGAAACCAAAACCATGGCAAATGCTTTACATATACACCACTCTCTACATAACAGCCTTTGGGGCAGCAGGGATAAGACCTTGCGTCTCATCCTTTGGAGCTGATCAATTCGATGAGAGGAGCCCTGATTATAAAAAACTTCTTGATAGATTCTTCAACTTCTTTTATCTTTCTGTGACTACTGGTGCAATCTTGGCTTTTACTATGGTGGTGTATATTCAAAGGGAGCATGGTTGGGGCCCTGCCTTTGGGTCATTGGCCATAGCCATGGCCCTCTCAAACATGGCTTTCTTTGTGGGCACTCCTTTATATAGACACAGGTTACCAGGGGGTAGTCCATTGACTCGTGTTACTCAGGTGTTGGTTGCTGCCTTTAAAAAGAGGAACACCCCTTACTCCTCTACTGAGTTAGTTGGCCTTTATGAGATTCATGGGCAGAAGTCCGCTGTTAAGGGAAGTTGCAAGATACCTCATACTGATGATTTCAGGTAACCATCTTCTCTTTTTTAGCTTTAATCTGTATCATATCAAATTTCCATTTGTAACTTTTATATAGTTTCAAACCACTACCTTCTCCATGAAAGTGCATGCTGTGATCTAGTACAATATGTATAGTTGTAAATTTTTTTTCTTTTTCTTTTGCATTACCGGCCAGAACACTTACATATGTCCAAATCCAACTTTAATTTACATAAATAAATCTTAATACAATCCAAGATCTTCTATTGCATACCATTGCAATTCTATAGAATAATTTTTTTTACAATAGATGAAGAATTAAGAAACATGGAGCCAATATAATTATGAATACCTGGCCTCATATTACTCCTAAGGACTTTGTATACCCCATACCGGGTCTCCTCCACCGATAGCGCACATGACATTTGGTCTTTCTTGGATCTCAACAAATGGGAAGTTTGGCTAAACCCTTTCTCTTAGAATATGAGAGCATGTGACAAGAACATGGGGCCTCTCTTGATCGCATCTATGGGGGGCGTTCCCTCCTTCACAAGCATACTTGGGTGTGCCCCTCTTTTTTTCTCTCTAAGTGTTTGAGATGGTGAGAGAGAGAGATGAGAGTGGAGAAAAGGTGGCGTGCCACCCTAGGAGGGACAGAGGGAGAGAGAAGAGCAAGCTTGGGGTGTAGAGAATGGACCCTCGAATATGATGTATGTATGGAGTTTAGGGTTTTGGGAATTAGGGTTAGCCATCATTATAGAGATTTGATCTTGACTGTAGATCGTAGGTGGCTTGTGGGGTAGGAGATGTTAGCCATCCACTCGTTAGATCATTGTCATGATTAAAAGAAATGTCCTAGAACCTTTTCTCTCAGCTTCTTTAACCTAATCCCATCAAATATTTTGTGTAGAAAAATATACTATGTATTTCTTATTTACTTTCAATCAATCTCTACACTTTCCTATTTTGAAGACATTCATCCTCTTTTTCTTCTAAAAAAAAAAAACAATCATCCTCTTTTCATAAACCTTTCCTTTAAATTTCAAATCAACCTATGGGGCTTCTTCAACAAGCCACATTATGAGAAAATAAGGAAATAAGGAAAGAATGGGGCATCCCTTTTATGGGGGCCATTGTCAGCCCCACACCCCCATCTCAATGGGCCTAATGTGGTGGGCCCCAATGAATTTTGTACCCCCACATACTTGAATAAATTTAAAACGATAAAAATGATTTTTATAAAAACATAAATATTTTATTTTTCTCACTGAATATATTAATTCTTGAAATATCAATTTTAGCCCTTTTAAAAATCCATTGATAAAATAAAATATCCAGAGCAATATGAAACTTCATATTAGTATTCTAAAAAATCATTTAACATAAAATTAAACATTTTAAATTTATTATATGAGAATTGGATCCAACTTCATTAAGGAAAATGCGAATATGCTGAGGCACTCCATCTCCTCTAGTGACCATGTCCCACACTGTTGGGTATATGTGGCCATTAAAGGCCTTATGAGTGTTTGTAATTGAACTTTTGATATAATGGAACATGAATTCAGTGGGAGAATGGTCTTGTGTGGACCATACTAAGTAAACGATATTTACCGATACCAGACTAAGCTTGACGTGCTAGGTCAGTTGGTTGGGAAAAACCCATGTTACTTGGGCATAGAGATTAAACTGATAAGGGCTATAATGGGTCATCCCTTGATGAGGTCGGAGTATGCTCGGATGAGTGAGCCGAGGGATTGTGTGGCCCTTGTAAGTGATGGAAGCCTTCATAGACGGGTACCAAAGCCTCATCCTCATACCATCACACTAGATGCATATGTGATAGCCGTTTTGGGAAAGTGAACCATCTTTCAAGGTGAAGCTTGTGCCTGTGCGAGAGATTACCCCTATGCACTATAGAGCGGTGGTCGCATCAGGTCTAGGTGACTTTGGTACCTCTCTAAGGGAGAACCTGAAATCCACATATTGGGATTACGACCCCTTGCCCATTGGCTGACTTTGGTGACCCACTAATGAGCCCCTGCGATAGACTGTGGGTCATAGGAAACGTTGGGTCAGTTTGAGAAAGCAAGTGTGGACCATAGTCCACGGTAGAAGGTGGAGTGCCCTAGTGTTTATTTATTTATTCCTAGACCATATGGATCATTTTTTAAGCAAAATATTTAATTATGTTTGCTTTAATGTTATATGATTTTTAGAATTGTTATTTGAGTTTTTTTGAATCTCTGGGTATTTTATTTATGAAATTTGGATTTATAAAAACAAAGATATTGATTTTATATTGATTTAATTATTCAAATATGATTTTATGAATTTTTAAAAGCCATAATATTGTTTTAAAATAATTTAATATTGCATGGGAGGCCCAAATATGTATATGGGCCCACCATGGCAATTTGGTGGGGCCCATGAGGTGCCACCTAGGGTGGCATGCCCCACCTTATGGAACCTTTCCTTTGTTGTATCAAGCTCATGGCTTGAGGGTGAAGAAAGCTTATGTTTTGGAAAGATTGTGTTTGAAGGAAGCTTTGAAATTGAATAAGGAAAGTGTGAAAAGGCTTGTACATAAAAATACGAAACCACAATGTTATTTTAGATTTTTTTTATTTAAATTAATTAATAGAAAAATGGTTTAGGAAATGGGGGATAAAGGTTCGAGCACCTTCCATATGATCTTAATGGTCTATCTATAGAATTGAGGGCTCATATCTCTTACCCCGTAAGTCACCCAAGATCAATGATGCATATTCAATCTTACAAGAAGAGGCAAGCCATGAAAACCTTAAGAAACCCTAAACTCCTTGAAGCACTATAAAAATTGGGTGTCGATATCCATGTCTCCTACACCTAAAATCTCTCTCTTCTCTCTCCCATATTCAATAGAGTAGTATGCCCCTAGTAGAGTGATTCTCTCTCTAGTTTGTAAAAAGGTGGCACGGTCCATCTCTTGAGATTTTCTCTCTCCCTTGATCAAACTAGGGGATGTGCCCTACATAGAAAGACTCTCTCTCTCATCTTCCATCTCTCATGGCCTAAAGGGTTAGGGTTTAGTAAAAGGATGCTATCTCTTTCAACTAGGTTATCAAGGGGTTAAGCCTTTGTTTGAGATCCAAAGTTTTTAAAAGAGTTCATGTTCCATTGGATTTCCCAATATTAAGATTGAAGGTTGACCAATGATCCCGTGCTATTGGAGGATGGTGACTTGGTGTGGGGTGTAATGAGCCTGGTTGAGGTAATCTCCTACACTCACTTTTTTATTTCTTGCCATATTTACTTCTTATGCCTTTTGTTATTCCCAAGCATAGCATTGTGATTTTCTTTGATTAAAGAAGTGTTGGTTTTAGTGGCATCAAGTTTTAGATCCTAGACTTATTTATTTTATCTCTTTTCAAGTCAATTTATTGTGATGGATTACTTGTGAGTGATCTAAGCCAAAAAAGAAAGAAAAAGAAAAAAAAGAGAAAGAGAGAAAAACAAAGAATATATACACCGGCTAGATTACGTAAGTGACCATGTCCCACACTCACTGCAAACTGACCTAATAGTTCTCATGACCCACAACCCATCACAAGGGTTCATGAGTGGACTGTCAAAGTCAGCTAATAGGTCATGAGAACATATTCCTAGTCTATGAATTATAAGTTCCTCATAGGGACAACCCTAGGTCACACAGACCTGTGCACTCTTATCGCAATTGGTGTATGAGGGCTATCTCTCGCACATGTACATGTCGCACCCTTAATGGTGTCTACTTCTTAATACGGCTATCATATGTACATTCTGTGCGATGGTCATGATGAGGATTTGGCTTTTGCCCCTTCAGGCCCTCCAATCGCACACAAGGGTCACTTAGTCCCTTGGCCAACCATTCTGGCCATCTCTTCGACCTCATCCTTAAACCCTCCATGATTGTGCCTCATGCTTAAAGATAAGGGGTTTTAAACTCAACCCGGCCTAGCTCGTCAATCCTAGTTTGAGTTTCGGCATCAAAATTGCCACCTTTGGTCCATCTTGATCATAATCCTTTGGTCCCTCTAGAGCATACTCCCATTGGAGTTATCATATCACTATAGTCATAGTTTTACATGCTCTCATAAGGCCTTTAAGTGGCCACATAACCCCAACACTGCACCGTCAATGGTGTCCTTTTTCAATTGGCACTAGTTTTTTTTCTTTTTCAAGTGTTTTTGTATTGTTGCATTCCCGAGGTGAGTATTGGACCCATCATAGTGTTGATTGTCTAACTTTACGATACCATTTTTTTCTTTTAAGGAAAGATCAAAATGCCCATCAGAGACGAACTATTTAACATTCTACTCATTTGCAACTGTTCGCACTCAAGATAATGTGTTTTGTTATGAGTATTTTGCAATTAAATCAAAAGATATCTTGTGTTTTGTTATGAGTATTTTGCAATTAAATCAAAAGATATCTTGTGTTTTGTTATGAGTATTTTGCAATTAAATCAAAAGATATGAGTAAGGTGTTAAATTGTTCATCTATCATGAATAATTTCATAATTTTCCATTCTTTTAATTGGGGTTTTTACTTGAATTAACTTGCAGCTGCTAAACCACATCTTCTAGTGCTTTGCTTTACTGTTGTTCAGTGCTTCAAAACAACTATCCTCTTTATTTTCTAAGAATCTTTATTTTATATTTATTTATTTTATTTCTTTGGGTTGTTTTTGTTTTTTTGTTTAAGGGGGGGGGGTGTGTTGTCCGTTCTCCTGAATTATTGGCGAAATAAACCCTTGGGTCCACCAAAACCCTTTGATAACTTATTGATGAAACGCACCCCTTTCCTCTTTTGGTATGTAAAATGGATAGTTCCAACCCTGTTCAATTCATTAAGTCCCATTAATCTAAACTAAATTTATAATAACTTTCTCTCTCTACCGCACCGGGTCTCCCTCAATTCACTCTTTCTCCCGACCGATTCATATCTCTTTCTAATTCAGAGAGAGACCTACTTCAGCAAAGAGAAAATGAGTGAGTGAAGAGAAGGA